GAAATACACATCAAGTCGATGCATTTCACCGCCGGAAACTGCCTTGTCACTCATTTCATATTTCGCTCTGGCAAAAGTTGTACGAAACGGTTTCTTTATTTGTGCAATTCCTCATATTAATTACAACCTTTTGTTAGTAGTCTTTGAAAGCAAGAGCACATTGTTTGGCGTGCCACAAAGTAACTGGGATTTCAAAACTATAGCATTTAAATAAAATTCAAATAAGATCACATGTCTTAATCAGCAAGATGGTAGATCATCTCTGACGTCCGAGGTTAGTGTGCGAGGTACGAGCCACCCGAGGAGCTCCGAGTGACACTTCTAGGTGATGCTCTATTGATTACATAGTGAAAATGCATAAATTCTTTTAAAATTCTTCTTTTCTGCTCCTGGGTAAGAGTTACAGTCTTACTCTACCAATTCATATATTCTCCTAAGAAAAAAGAAAAGATATTTTGTCCAACGCGCAAACTTTTACTAATCTCATACATAACCGGAGTATATTTCCCCTTCAAATTATTCTTTTAGAAAAAAAATGAAATTGGAAAATTGCGTGTGCCGCGCGATTTTTTTCTGGACAGTTTAGTCGATTGATTCCCCACAGTCAATAAAATTATTAGGAATAATTTTGTTTGTCAAAGGTGATTCGTGTCTTTTAATTCCAATATAGTAATACTATAATACAGAGGCAACATGCGCACAGCATTCAACCAACCGCGCACCCGATCTTCACCGACAATACCAGTATTTTATTTGCTCCTCTGTATCTGCAGAATTGCACTGTATCTAGAGATAATAAAACTTAGAGGAGACATGCCTCGACTGGAATTTGGCTTGCCAAATATTTGAATTATTTTTTCAATAAATATATCATATCCACCATCATCACTTGCATGCTCAGAGGAGTATGAAAGGGCCTGCTTTAACTGATTTTCCGATTTTGAACTTTTATCTAACTGACCCCTATTATTACACTTTTACAAAATGTACAGTCGTTTTAGCCCACCCGTCGCCCAAGCAGTGCATAGAGATTCCCCCTAAAAGTTCCATTCCCCCCTCACCCTTCAAGAGCCTACGCCGCTTAAGAGGCACATGTTTTTCACAAACGATGCAACAATCACGTTTCGGCATGGTGTTTTTCCCGTGGAAAATTCAAGATAATACATGTAACTATTAAGGGGGCCGACTATAGTTTTATTGTGTGAAAACTACAATAGCGAAACTCTTCATTTTTATACCATATATATCTTACATTAACTTCAGTGTACACGCAAAGTTTGGGGGAAATCTACCGTCCAGGTATTTTTGAGGGACCGTCTCAAAATACAGGTACATTTACTATAGGATTATATAGGAAAATGCCAATTTTTAGCACTTTAAAGCAAATTATACAAATACCACAACAGACATTATGTTCAACCTATATTATTTGATGAGTAATATTACATTATACAGTATATTTAAGAAACACAAAATTCTACCGTCTTTTTACCAGAGGGGGCATCTCAAAATGCAAAAAATTAGTAAATTTTACTATTTTTATAAATTATTACAAAATATGACGTACACAATGGTTTCACATGAAAACATAATAAAAATATTCAAGATATTCTCGAATTTCAATGTTTTAAACTTCAAGAGCGTATGTTTATTACTTTTTCTTTTAATAATATTTTATTACCCCTTTCTTTAAGAGCAACAGATTATAATAACGTCAAAAACACACTGCAACGACATCAACCTACCTATCAATTGCACAATCGGTTTAAAAATCAGTTATATAAAATTCTAATTACATTTACATTTTTATGCCTATAATTCCTTAATTTTGTTTAATTTTATTAATTAAGCGAAAAAATACAGTAAATACGCGTCATTTTACTATGATGCGCGAAATATTGCGCCATGGAAACTATAGTCGGTCCCCTTAAATGTGATGGTATTCTACGACAATAAATCTAATAAACATAAAAAAGACCACACAACGTCGATGGCGAACGATTTGAACGTGTCAGTGATTTACAGTGAGCACAACTGACAAACGTTTACATGGATAGAACCCATGTGACTATTTAAATAAATTTTTGCACAGGTGAGTTTTACATGTACGTGGGTCACGCCAATAATAGCTCTCGCTTGCTACAGGAAAAACATTGACATTTTCAAACATCCTTCCTTTTTTTAAGTACCATATCATCGAGTACAAATTTCTAATTTTCACAGACGTTTTCTAAACGTATAATGCGTCTTCTATCTTTTCCACAAGTTTTGTAAGATTAGGCTGACAGTATACAAAGGCTTTGAAATAAATACCTGTCCCCTATTTATTATAGAAAATCACGAATATCGGCTGACGCCTCCTACATTGTAAAGCTTCCTAATTTTAATATTCATGAATTTCAAAGCCAAAAGTTGTAGATTCTTATGGTTAAGATAACTATCAATGATGTGAGATTAAAAATTATGCTTAAGGTACATTGATACTCTGATAAGAGGGATAACTCTTAATGACATAAATGTCTATTTTTCCTTTATAATTTTTTCAGGTTGAAGTGTCTGTTTTGCCCAATTTTGCCCCGCAAGCTATGTTATAATTGTTTGAATTTTACTTATAAAATACATTTCTTTTAGAAAATCATGAAGGTTCAAGCAACATTTTATATGAGTGAGCAGAGGGTTCAGGAACCTTAATTTGAAACTTCATTTTTTCACATTTTACCGGGGCCCATAAGTGCACTTGTTCTTTGTTCTCCGAACTCGCTGTCCAGAGATCCACCGTCTATTTACTACACCTCGTGGTTTGAAGGTGAACAACCCAGTCATTTCAATTCTCATCAAAGTGTTGTCTCATTTGACAAACAGCATCTCCAATTGCTTTTTATGCGTTTCAAAGTTGAAAATCCTCGCTTAAATGTTGCATTGGACAGGGGGGGATAATAATACTTGGTTTATAACTCTCCCAATATTGTGTAATGTGACACTGTTCGTCCTCCTTCCAGATTCTCTAATAAACGGATAGTGGGTGACAGGCTTTAAAATGGTCATTTCTGCCAATATTCACTTTCAGATCCCCCAGTTGTTGTAGAATGATATGATATCAAAATTTTATCCAGGAAGGGGTTTATGGTTACGTCTCTATACAAGTGAAAAATTCTCGAATAGGACGTAAAACAATAAGGAATCATTCTATCTAATTACTGCGCAACGCGGGTGGCAGTAGTTCGAAGAGAGAGATTAATACATGTAAAATACCATAAAGTCTGCACTTTCTTGCCACACTCTGTAGTAGGTTATATATTTATGCCTTGCTGTCGTACCATTAACTTTTTCTTTACAGGCGTGGATATTAGTCTAATTATATATAGTGCATTAAATTTTCCATTGTTGGGAATACAAACAAAATTTAAAAAAAAAAGCAATAAATTGAGTCAAATCAAACATTTCGAAAAATTCACTAATTGGTATTGAATAGAATATACACAAGAAATGGTCAATCAACTTCCCGTTAACTCGTGTACTCTTTAAAGTGTTTACTTCACAACTCTGGGGCTTCATTGGGAAGATTTGGTTGGCTCTTGCAAATTTGGGTCAAATTTCCGGTGATGAAGACCACCTGAGTTACACTTCGGGATATCTTCTCTGTTCTGTAAGTATCTCACTTTGTTTAGAGATGTTTTGAGGGACAGTTGAGAAAGTTCACCGACTCTCAAACTTATATGTTCCCTTTAGATCCGGGGGCATTAAAAGAATATGCTAGGATCACAATGTTAATAATATTTTGAAATATACTTTGAAATAAATGAATATACAGCGCAACTTTTTGTGCGCAATAAATACACATTTTTTAATTGGTGACACTGTAACTCTCTTGTCATTTATCCTATTTTTTCCCCCAGAAAAGCGAGCTACTGTTCTGCTGCTAGCTGTGTGCGTAATAATGAGCATTTACTTTAGAACAGAATAATTGAACTCCATCAAAAACTAGTGATCCCGCAATATTACGGCAAAGCATAATAATGTATTTGGTAAACAAATTTATTATAAGCAATCATGTACCTCGGTAAGCTGTCTTAAGGGGTCCGGAACCAAGAGGATTTTTTATATTGTGTTTAGCACTTTACTTTTGTATTGTAGAATTTTAGATGTCTTTTAAAATCTCAAATAATTCATTCAATATATGTCGGTAAAATCCTGCGTGAGTTTGGTCTTTGTTAAATCATCACTTCTATGTTCCCTTTAGATCCGGGGGCATTAAAAGAATCTGCTAGGATCACAATGTTAGTAATATTTTGATATATACTTTGAAATAAATGAATATACAGCGCAACTTTTGTGCGCAATAAATACACATTTTTTAATTGGTGACACTGTAGCTCTCTTGTCATTTATCCTATTTTTTTCCCAGAAAAGCGAGCTACAGTTCTGCTGCTAGCTGTGTGCGTAATAATGAGCATTTACTTTAGAACAGAATAATTGAACTCCATCAAAAACTAGTAATCCCGCAATATTACGGCAAAGCATAATATTGCATTTGGTAAACAACTTTATTATAAGCAATCATGTACCTTGGCAAGCTGTTTTCAGGGGTCCTAAACAAGAAGATTTTTTAAATTGTGTTTCTCACGTTACTTTTATATTGTAGAAATTTCAGATGCCTTTAAAAATCTCAAATAATTCATACAATATATGTCGGTAAAAGTTCTGCGTGAGTTTGGTCTTTGTTAAATCATCATGATGTTATTGTCCTGGGCCCGTTTTACTAAAGAACTTACGACTAAGACCAAAACTTTAGACGATTGTAAAATTTTACAGAATTAACCATTCTCTTTGAAATTGTTTCTGTAAAAATATCTTACCACATTCTTTTAAAAAAGTTAAAAATAATTTTCGATATAAAGTTAATTAAAAAGTTATATGAAGAATTAAATTTGGTCTTATGTCGTAAGTCCTTTTGTAAAACGGGCCCCTGTACTGAATATACAAGTGTACTGTACTGATAAGCAATATAAATATATCAAGATTGATAGTGTTGAAGGTTGGTCGAAGTCTCGAGCAAATTTAGTCATAAACTGCCTGGAATCATGAAAGTAGCACTTCTTTTTCTTGCGTCTATTACACTTGTGTCAGGTTAGTAAATGGCATTGTTTGTTTGTACATGTACTCGTATCAGGTCTTTTGTGTCTTCATTGTATACATGAAACATGTAGTTGTCAATACATTGAACATTATTAACATTAAATATTGCATAAATCTTTTGCAAATATTTAACTGTATCTTATTGCTTACATTAATCATGCTTCTAGAGTAGAGGTAAACATGAATGTTACATGTACCAACAAGTCTGTAATAGTCCGATTTTCGGTGAAATATCAAGAGATCTTTTGTTTGCAAATTTTAAAAATCCAAATGCATATCAAAAGGCTTTTAATGCTAAAGCATTCCTTTCGTATTTATCAGGGCCAGTTTACGGAGGTTTTAAATGAACTCCTGATTTTAAGTACTTTTATTTATTGTAAAACCAATGATGTTGATTTATATTTTTCAGCATTCAAACTAGAGAATGGTAAAGTATTAAGTATATGCTTATTGTATTTGTACAAAAAATTTAAGTTCAAAGGAATTACATGTATCATACATATGATAATCCAGAATCCACTGTGTAAACTTGATTTAAATGGAATTATGGAACTTTTTACAGCCAAAAGAGCTACACATGCTGGGCAGTGTCCAACAGTTGACTCGAATCTCTTTGGTATATGTATGTTTGACCCTACTATAAATTGTCTTAGTGATGATGAATGCCAACCAAGTAAGTAAAAATGAAGAAATATATATCTTTGTTTTGAAATAAATATTAGTATTAATTTTCAAATTTTCTCCTGAATTTCAGTGTTCTTACATGTGTGTTATATATTTGAAAAAAATTAAACAGCATAATGTAAAAAAAACAATACATGCATTGATCTCTATATGGTATATTTCTATTTATAGTTGAACTGTCATGCAACAGTTCAAAACGTTGATTATTGTTAACTGTTTTTCATTGAACCATAACTCTTTTTTCTTTTCAGCGGAGAAATGTTGTCCAAGTGGCTGCAACAAGAAGTGCACGACATCTGTTCATCATCAATTGCTTTTGTCCTAAACACTCAATAACCTTATAGACAATGATAATTATATACTGTTGGCTAAATCATTAAAAATATTGCTAGAGCTAACTACTATTTTTAATGATTTTAAAGAAATAATAACAATTCAGAAAATTCGTGTTATCCGTTTAAGGAAAACAGAAGATAATGAAAGAACTAGAAAAAAAATTTTCGCAGTTGGAAGAACAAGTCAATTCAGATTGATCTTTCAATTTTTGGTCTGAAAACCAATAGGGGTGTTTTAAAGTTTAAAAAAATAATACTAAGCAAGGTTTTAAAAAGCTTACATAAAAGTTATTTGTTTTATTTTGTTAGCTTAAAAGTAAGTATGCAAAGTATATTTATGATCTTGACCTTTTTTTTTTAATGCCAAACGGCGTTATGAGATAGATTTAAATGCAATATTTCAAGATACATTTATGATAAACAAACTATTAGGTTGAAAAAAAGTGTTAAACATAAACATGTTATGCTAAGTGAGTCGTGCTACTGTTCTTACTTAATATGTACTGTACTGATAAGAAATGCACAGATCTAGATCAAAACCGATAGTGTTGAAGGTTGGTCGAAGTCTCTAGCGAATTTAGTCATAAACTGCTTGGGATCATGAAAGCGGCAATTTTTTTTCTGGCGTCTATTACACTTGTATCAGGTTAGTTTTTTTTAAAAATTAATTAATAGTTTGTATTATATCAGATATATATAATCTTTTGTTAAAATTTCTTCTTTCTGTGTATAAAACATATAGAAATTATGTATATGTTAATACATTTTTGCACATTAAGTAATGCATCAATCTGTTGCAAATGAAACATCAGATGAACTTTTGTTGACAAATTATAAATATCCAAAAATGTAAATTTTATCAAAGACAGTCGAAAAAGATCTAGTCTAATAAAAATTCCCAACCGTTCTTTCAGATCTCCTATTTTCGGTTTAAATACTTTTTAATTTTAAATACTCTTAATCATAGTAAGACAATTAGTTTTTCTTCTATTTTTCAGCATTCAAACTAGAGAATGGTAAAGTATTGATAACACGCTTACTGATTTCTTTGCGGATAATGTATTTTTTGAAAGATAATTCTACAATAGCGCGCGCGGAGTACATGTACACTGCACGTTTATTTTAATTAGGGAGGAATACTGGAACGTTCCTATATTAGTATACGATCAAAGACTGTTTCTTCCTTACAGTCAAAAGAGCTACACACACTGGAGAGTGCCCACTTGTGGACACAAATGTTCTAGGATTTTGCATGTATGATCCAGCAAAAAATTGTCTAAGTGATGATCAATGCATACCAAGTAAGTGATGAAGAAATGCATACTTGTATTCTTAATACTGAATTTTAAGAGCTTTCACAAGTTTTTTTCCTGCTTTGTGAAGAAATCATGTACATGAAAAATATCAATGAAGTGAATGTTCTTTTTTTCATTGAAAATTCAATTATAGCTTTGATTAATTTTTCTTTGGAAAGTTTTACTACAAGTTGCATGTTTCGAAATATCCATACATTGCACGCTTTTCTGTTAATCTTTACTGTTAAAATTACTTGGTGCTTGCAAGTGAAGAATCTGACTCTTCCTTGTTGAGACCTTTTACCTTTAATTTGAAATAATTCATAAAAAATTTTTTTGTTAAAAAAACACAAAAAGTCCTAATCATCTGTTTGAATTATGGATAATATTAACAAAAACATTTGCTTCTCTCTACAGCGGAAAAGTGTTGTCCAAGTGGCTGTAACAAGATGTGCATGACGGCTGTTCATCATCAGTTGCTTTTGTCCTAAATATCCAACTTCAACAAACAACCTTTAAAAATATGAAAATTACATGCATCAGAAATTAAAGGATTTCCTTTATAGAGAAGATCATATTAAGATTGTTGATCCATGTGAACTAATCACTGCATGGGTGTCAGCCCTTCTATAATTAATAAAAGAAAAAAAAACATCAGCATATGTTTGTGCGGTTTTTGAACAATGAATCTTGCAAGTTCTAAGGCCAAAGATAACTTGAGATCGACACAATGAGAGCCATTTTCATTACAACAGAGCCAAAGCTTTCCCATGAAAGAATCGGACATAGTAACATACATGTATACATAAACTTATCTTTAAGATCCATGTAATTTATGTTATTCCTGTTATTGTAGAGAGAACCTCCAAGCAAATACACAAAATTAAACTTGAATAACAAAAATCAAACAAACAAAAACAATATGCACTGCATTGATTTGTGCAAACTTATCATAAGCTATGACTTCGTTAAGAATATTTAATAATTGCCACATATAATTTATGCCAACATATCCAAATCAAATACATTATATATGCAGGTCGTATAAAATAAACCTGATATTTATTATTAAAAATGTTATGTTCTATATTAATCGGATACTGACCTTTTAATCATACTGATATGCTTGAAATAAGACCCGTGACTATCTGATTGAGAAAAATCAATTTTTGTTATGTACTTTGAGTCCCCTTTTTATGACCCCCATTTTGTTAACTGTGTTTTGCTTCTGTCATTTACTTTAATAAATGAAATATTTAATTTCAACATGATGTTATTTGCTTTTGCCTGATCGGTCATTTACAATTGGCAGCAGGACTAAGGAACACAAATTAAATTGCTTCAGAGTATCAAATCGGCCGCGAACAAAATATACCATTTCAGAAAAGTACTTCTACAATTTTAAATGCATCCATGCAAGGAAAGCACAAGATATTCAAAGTTGAATTTAGCAGTGATCTTTTTTGTTTCAGACTCTTAAAGGAAAATGATATGAATAATAATTTCTAAAAATTTAAATACATGTAAAATTGTAAATAGATATTTCAGTGAATTTGCTCATCAAATGGATTCATCGATGTTATAAAGTAAATGCTAAATGATAAGAATTTATTGTCATCAAAATGAATATTAAGGCCTCTCAAGACGAACCACGTGCGGATAACATGGATCTTTGTCACGTAATAATGCCTGTTTCTGCGGAGTAGGGTATGCTGCAAGGCGCGGTACAAACTGTAGAAAAACAATATCCTTGTTTAATTCGCAGCTATAGCATATTCAAAACAATTATTACTACACAATGTAGTTGAAACACTTTTCTATTCACCTTGCACGTATTTTACAACGTCATTATTATCCGAAAAAATCATGACGATTTCCTTTCATATCTTATACACTCCCAGACTGGAAGTTTACCTATTGTAAACTCTTTTTCATATATCCATACATTATCAATTATCAATAACGTCTCATTTCCCTATGCGCTCTTTCTAACACAACCACAAATAGATGCAGCCGACAATAATATCAATTTGGTCAGCATTAACTCGTCAAAATGAAGTCAACAATATAAAATGTAACAGCAAATGATCACATTTAAAACAAAATTAATTAATGCAAAAGAAAGCCTTCCCGATTCGATCTTCTTATGACATACAACATCCTCCTGAGTCGATCTTCTAATGACATACAACACCTTTCTGAGTCGGTCTTCTAATGGCATAAAACTTCCCGAGCCGATCTTCTAACGACATACCACGGGCACTTTTTTCGGAAATAAATTCTAACCCATAATATAATTATAACACAAGGTACTGAGTATCTAACTTTGAATTACAAGGAGTAGCCCCTTCTCAGAAACGCACTTATTTACACTTCATAAAATGAAGTTGTTCTGAGAAATCAATAATTTTCATGTTTTTTTCACGTGGTAAATTGTATGGTATGAATAAAGACATGAAATTGTTTACCACGAAATGTAAATACCATAATTATACTACTCAACAATTCTTCATCCAGGAAATCAGTTCTCCCTGAACCCATGATCATTGCTTTTGATCACACCAAGAAAATTTTACCCAAAGAATACTGTGATTATAAAGGTTTTTTGTGAATAGTGTGGTACAAAAACAATTTAAGGGAATCCAGAAAAAAAGAGATTTGACAATGATTTTACTCTCATAAAGACAAAGTATATTGTAGAGACAAACAAGCTAATTCAGAGAATTCGTGTCCCCCGCTTAGGGAAAAAGTCGGCTCCCCCTGACTGAATTTGTAGAATTATTAAATGTATACATGTATACTGAAGGAAATAAAATACATGTATGTCAATATGCATATAAAGATTTGATTGCTTATTCTTTATTATGTGTATAGAAGATTTTTTTATATGAAATATTTATCACACTGTAATGATGATTTTATAACCTCATAAATTTTTCATTTCACATGCTGAATACTATCATTTAGTAAAAAAAAAAAAAAAAAAAAAAGAAAGGTTCGACAGAGATTCGATCCCGGGACCTCTCACACTTGAAGCGAGAGACATAACCACTAGACCACGGACTCTCTTTAAACGGAGTGAAGTATATGCAGAACTGAAGTCACATACATGTATATATTCATGTTTTCATGTTCGGTATTCTCAAAATTTTACACAATCCATGGAGTTTGATTTATTTAGCCTTTATTAAGCAGTTATAATAGATGTAATAAGAACATAAAGTCCGCCGAGAACCTGTTTTATACGCAATAACTCTCCTCATGCCCCTGCGCTAAAAATAGCGACATGTAATACTATAAATACTAATAAAACAAACGGGGCGGGGCACTTTGAGAGGGGCGAGAGACGTCCTAGGGAGTTTTGGTATAAAATTACATTGCATAAGCTCAAAATCTTCTTGAAATATCGCCCGGAAATGATAGTGTTACACACAGACAGAATGTATAAATTTACGACCTTGAACTTTGACCTTTTGACCTCAAAATCAATAGGGGTCTTCTTTAGGCCACAGGGAGTTGTTATGTAAAATTTCATTGCGATAGCTCAAATGGTTCTAGAGATATCGTGTGGAAACGAAAGTGTTTTAACAGACAGAATTTGCTTATTTATGACCTTGACCTTTGACCTTTTGACCTCAAAATCAATAGGGGTCTTCTTTAGTCCATAGGGAGTTGCTATGCTAAATTTCATTGCAAAAGCTCAAAGGGTTCTCGAGATATCGTGTGGAAACGAAAGCGTTACAGACAGACAGAAAGACGGACGGACGGACGGACGGACGGACGGACAAACCCAAATTAATATCCCCCACTTTTCAAGCGGGGGACAATTATAAACATAGATCAATATGAATATGGGTAAAAATGAGTGTGCTGACAAAGAAACGAAAAGCACTTTAATTTTATAACCAGGAGCCACTTTCTCAATAACAGTGTTTATAAACTTACACACTTTCATCAATTTAATTTTCTTTTTTATGCCTCCGTAAACGAAGTTTCGGGAGTATATAGTTTTTGTCCTGTCCATCCGTCTGTCACTCCGTCTGTCTGTCTCTCTATCTGTTTGTCCGCAAAAACTTTAATCTTGCCCATAACTTTTGATTTAGTGGAGCTATGACTTTCATACTTTACATGTGTATTTCTTGTGACAAGACCTTTCTTTGGGTACCACCAAATTTGATCTGTTGACCTTGACCTTGGAGTTTGACCCACATTTACAAAAAAATTCCAAAATTTTACTTTGGCAATATCTTTTGAACAGTAGATACAACGACATTTAAACTTCACATGTTTTTTTTGTTGTTGAAAGACCTTGACCTTTTGACCTTAAGGATTTCCGTACTCGTGAAAAAACTTTAACCTTGGCCATAACTTTTGAACAGTAAAATATAGGGCTTTCATTCTTCATTTATATAATCCTTGTGAAAAGACCCTTCATTGAATACTAAGAACTTTGACCCTTTGACCTTGGAGTTTGACCTACTTTTAAAAAGCAAACCTTGACCATAACTTTTAAAGGGTTAGGGCTAGTGCTTTCATACTTTACATATTTAATCCATGTGACAAGACCTTTTATTTGATAGCAAGACATTTGACCTTGACGTTTTACCTTCTTTTAAAAATTTATAACTTTGGCCATAACTTATAAAAGGTTAGGGCTAGGGCTTCCATGCTTTATATATGTATTCTATGTGGCAAGACCTTCCATTGGATACCAATTACCTTGACCTTTTCACCTTGACCTGAGAGATTTCTGTACTTAGGGAAAAACTTTAACCTTGGCCATAACCCTGGAACGCTAAGGGCTAGTGATCTCACACTTCACTTTTAAAACCCTTGTGAGAAGACCCTATATTCTATACCGACAACTTTGACCTTGACGCTTGACCTACTTTTAAAAAGCAAACCTTGACCGTTTCTTTTAAAGGGTTAAGGTGCTTTCTTACTTTACATCTTTATTCCTTGTGACAAGACTTTTCATTTGATAACAAGACCTTTGACCTTGAAATTTGACCTTCTTTAAAAAAAAAATTAACATTTGCCGTTACTTCTGATTGGTTAGGGCTAGGGATTTTATACTTTACATATGTATTTTTGTGTCAAGGCCTTTCATTGGATACCAATGACCTTGAAGTTTTCCGTATTTATGGAAAAACTTAAACCTTTAAAATCCTTTTTATTCCACTTTGTAGCAATTTATATGGAATTTTGTTTATATACAATGGAAATGTAAATAAAAAAAAAAAAAAAAACCTTGGCCTACTTTCATATTTTACAATTGTATTTCCAGTGAGAATACCCCACTTTTGGTACTAATATATACTGAAAGGATAAAGAAATGCATATTAAACTTTTGAGTTAAATTAAAACAATTATTTCAACTATGTTTTCCAGCATTGTTATCATACATATTAATTCATCTTTAATCAACAAGTTACCAAAATTTTGTGTGATTTTGAGTGATAATTCCTGCGATGTTGATATCAATATGTCGACATCCCCCAAAAATAAAACTAAAAAGTCTCATAATATCCCTTACGCATCATTGAGACATCTTCAGGCTTGCTTTCCGTTGTATTAGTTTGACAGGCATAAAGCTGATATCTGTCATGAATATC